TTTAATGATTTGATACATTTTTTTTTAAGATTTTAAGTGTTTTTTGTTAAAATATACGCAATCTGCGAAAACACAGATTCCCGGCAATTAAAAAAAAAAACTGTAGTGCCGAATTTGTTTTCCGTTTAATATGTTATGGATACATATGAGTTCCAACTACTGGCAAATTTTCAACCCAAAAGTCTTAAAATTAAGGCTAAAAAACAAAAAACTTGAACCCCCTCTAGGGGGATAGGGAATGGGTTTTATTTAAATTTGATACAACTGACGTGCGCGGGCATAACAAATAAATATTTCTTATAAATTTCAACTCGATCCGACTCTTTTTCTCGAAATAATAGCCAGTAAAATTTGTAACTTAAAAACTCGTACGGTTTTTTTTTTGTTTTTTTCAAATTTCGTCTGTGAAGAAGTAAACTTTTTCAACTTTTACCCCCCAAAAGTACCAACTAAATGAAATTTGCGATTTATAGAGTTGCTACTCGAAGGAATTGGTCCAGTATTAAAAAAGCCACAGTGTATACAGATAAAAAAAAACACACACATCAGAGTAAAACCAATACCTTCTCGCTTTGCATCGAAGCTAAAAGGTTAATGTTTAGTATTTTTATAATATTGTAAAATATGATAACCAAAAATGTTTACAAAAAAGATATACTACAAAATTGCAATTATTTTAAAGCGCACTCATCCCATCTTTAAACTATGACGAAAATATTCGGTTTGAGTGTCCAATAAAAAAGTTTTATCAATTTTCAAAATGCCTATTGCTTTGTGTTCCACTCAATTTGAAAATATTTAAAACGGCGGTGACCGTAGGAGATGGTGGAAAATTTTCAACAAATTAGGGGTCTCGTTTTAGGCCAATGCGAACCAATGAGTCATTAATGATAAGACCATTGCATAGGTGTATAAATCAGTTTGGTAATTGTTAGAGAGTGAGGATTTTGTATAATTTCGCACATTGGCGCATGTGTTTCAAAAGTTACACCGAGTTCACCAAGTAAATAAAGATTTATATGTACGATTTTCTATGGAAGTATTATTTATCGAATTCTCGCCTAAGCGTTAACTCGAAAACACAATTTTTTTACCATAGAAAAACACTTGAGTTGTTCGATGTGCGTTCCCATTTCCACTGTTTACATAAATTGAAATATACGAATCGACAAATTCAAGATCTTAAGAAATTTATGGCCAACCCGACTTATTGACGATTTTCTAGAATAATAATAAAAAAAACAATTTACGTGAACTGTTTTTGGTTTTTTTTTTGTAATACAATATTATTTCAAGGTCATTGTAATTTCCCCCCCTTCGGCAAGAGGATTTTAGGGAGGGTTGATTTTGCAATTACTTATAGCAAATTGTGTGAATAATTCATTTAGACATTTATGTTAATCTATTTTTTGTTTTTTAGTAAAATAGAATTTCATTGAACTTGGAAGACATTTCTAAGCACATTAAACAAAAAAAAAAACAACTACAAACATTATTCGATAATATTATTAGAACATTTCCTGAAAATATAACTAAAATAAATCAATTAGAATGCTAATTATTACAATTACTAGATTTATATGATACGTTTAGTCACGAACGTTATTTTTCAATGCATAGTATTACCACATAATTTTAATTGAATACAATATGAATAAATTGGATTAAAGTTAAAATTTAATAATGGTTACATGTATTATACTATTTTACGAAGTGTACTGGGTGATTGGTGAACTATGACCAGTATAAGTCAATAACTTAGAAGATATTGAACTTTTTTTAATAATTTTTTAATAGTATTTTATAGTTATTAGTTAGGACAAATTTAATATATTTTTGTAAAATATAACCCCATCCCTTATATGTTAAAACCGTATGAACTTGAGTTTTTTTTAAATAGGAACGTACATATTTGATTAACTTTTTGTCGTTCACTTAAACTTGTTTCATGTTGTAAAAGTCAGGCCAACCTTATACTAGAGTACGCAATTAAATAATTACCTAAAAGTTAATTAAATAATTTAATTAATTTAATTAATTCGATGTCTCTTACAATTATTACATTTTCAAGTTCTAATAACAAACTAAGGACCTGAAGTAACCAGGCACACATGTGTTAGCTCTAATAATGAATAACCAAACACTGTGCTTAGCTAACTGTGACAAATACATGGGCATTGTCTGCTTACAGCGATTGTCTTACAAATATAAGAAGCCAGGCGTTCAGCTTGAAAATAAGTGTTAGTACTAATACTAACGGAAAAACACACGAGGTCTATTTAATAAATTAGTACTGCATTTAGATTAAAGGCGGGTTCTGCAAAAAGTCTGCAACAAAAATGCAAACACCTACAAATTCTGTGACTGTAATTAAAGCAGCATTGTTTTTTTTTACTATTGTTTTTACCGACATAACTAAATTGTTTCTTATGATATGCCGTCACCAATCAAACAATATTATTTTGTCATTTAGCAGAGGTCGTGTATGGCCGTGACACGATAATGGAATAAAAGCGAGGAGTACGTTAAAATTGAACAAAAGTCTTCGCATAGATGAATATTATTTCTAGCGTTATGTTATTTAAAAGGGATGAAAATGTAATGCTTGTCCAATACACGTCTGGGCAGCGGGCCGTTGGACAGTTTACGTAACTATTGAAGCAGACACTTTAATTGAAGTGATAGCTTTTCATACTTTGTTTTATTTATGAGATCGGATGAATCCGCGGTACTACGTCAATTACAATTAGTACTCGTCTGACTATTACCTAATGATTCCCATTGATTCTAGTAAAAAAGTCGTGATTTGTGATGTAAAATATCATAATATATTTAAGAAAGTACCCAAACATTTTAGTCAGCAATTAAAATTTTAAGGCCGGCATCTTCATTTTGACACCCCGCCCCCCCCCCTTCCTTGAATATTTCTCAGTACCGGCCCTGTGGTCTGGTAACTGATTATTATTTACAATGTCATATATCTCTGTAGATTAAGTAAGATATAGGTATACTATATGATAATATCAGTTATTCAGATACCTATGTGATGATTTTATTGTAATACTACATTAACCACTACTTAACACCGACCTTTAGACTTTGTGTTCCGACTGTTTGCACGAAATACGCTACAACTGATAAGCGTGACACTAAAGTTTTTTCTACAATTAGGTTTTTTGTGACGATTTTTTATTTTTAAATTCGAGCTATTCGATCAGAGTCGGTTATAATTTTTACAGTTTATAACAACAATTCATCGTGTTGATACTTCTAGAATATTGTGTGTCGTTCAGTAACTAGATGGCTTGCAAGGCCTAGGAGAGGTGATCGTGATGATTTTGAAATGAAAACATCATTTTAACAGTATTACATTATTTATTTAATCGTTTTATAAATGAAAACATAATAATGTAATAATAAAATAAACATATGTAAGTAATAAAATAAATAATAATACAACACAAAAATAAAACATCAAATTTAAAACTGATAACCCATAGTTAAAACACCCACAAAAAATTTTCGTATGTTAATCATTCTGTATAATTTTTAATTCAGAAAAAAACACAAATCTCTATATAGGGGGAGGGGGGGGCAAATGCCACCCCGTTGGCAAAAAATAATATTAAAAACATTAGTATACGCCTATGCTCAGCTATATTATAACATCACTTCTTCTGTAAAGTGCTCTGACTTAAAAACTCATTGATGCTGGGTACGCCGTTGTCCATGTCCATTAACGCATAGAGGAACTCCACTATGTCCACATAGCTGTCTTCTAAAAAGTACAATATTTTCAGTTAAGAAGTTTATTTTATTTTGTCGCTAGATCTACTTCAACGTTTTGGCCCACTATAATATGTACAGATTTCTTGTGATAAAAATCAGCAATCTTTTTCCCGGGAAGCTTTGTATAATTGTAAAATTACTTTTTCCTCGAGATTTTGAAATTATGAAAATATCCGTGTAGAACAATTAACAAATGTATTTACCGTATCCTTAAAATATCAACCCTAACGATCATATAAAAACCCCAGTAAGCTATATCATTATCATAACCTTAAACTAATGGATACTTTTCCTTTTTTTTTTTTTTAGAGGTAGTTTTTGGACTCTGTATCGGATGATTATATAAACCCAGATCTGTAATAATATGAAACAACTTTTTTTTCCGGCTTATTTACTAACCCCAACTGTAACACATGCAAAACCGCCCAAGTCCTACTTTATGCTCTTCCTCGCCATGGTAATTATTTAAAAAAATTAAGCCGATTTCGTTAACGTTATAATTTGCAATCTTACTATTGGTGTCGTGATCTTTCATGAATTTCTCAAGGTCTTTGTCCTCGAAATTCCCGGAGTTAATTTTTTTAAGTTCTTCTGTACTGAGTAAACCGTCTTTGTCTTTGTCAACCTGATTGAATTGACTTACAATTTGCCTAACTATATCGACAGATATAGCTTCACCCTGAAATATCAACAAAGTAATTAAAATAGTGGGTACCTCTTCAGATGCACACGGGGGCGTTATCCACTCGACATTAATAGTTGTACTGTGACAGCATGTGGTTTGCACGAATAAAATAATATACTCTATGAGCTGTGATAGTATTGAGTCCACCGGATTTTCATAGTAAAATAAAGGAGCATATTAATATATAAGGCAATTTTTTTGGCGGATCCGATAATTTTTTTGTCTTTACATTTTTACACTTAAAGTTTTTTCTTATTTTCTAATAAATTATTAAAATTTAGTCGAAACTCTAGTTTTTATTCGTGCAGAACAGCTATATTAATGTAAAAAAAATATATAATGTTTTTCTATAGAAATAACTGTGATAGCCGGACAACAAAAAAAACTATAACCAATACACAATGTTCTCATTGCTGTACTAAAATAAATATACACTATGGCGATTTAACGAAAAACGTCCTATACTCTAATGCTTTAATAAATGAGTGTGTGCGCCATCGTAAAAGCAAATAGAACACAATCGTAATCAAATTATCAAACTTACTTTTTCTCCTTTACTGTATTCTGCAATGACAACCAACAGTTCTTGCAACTCCAAAGCAGCTTGACCTATAATCGAAATAATGAGTACATTTTTCATTTTACTAAAATATATACATATTACATATAATCATAGAACCAGAACTGAGACAAATGTTTAAACAAAACAAAATAATAGAATAAATCTTAGTTAAATTACAGTTGTTTCGTAAATAACAAAAAAAAAAAGATAACATCATTCAAAACGATATAAATACAATTTAGTTTGCTTATTCGTTTTATTTTATAGATGACAAATTTTCTCGATTAATTTAAAATAATTAAATCACATACTATTTAGAATAATATCGATAACAAGTATTTCGAAGCTAACAACTAGTGTTGATTAATTTGTTCATAAAAAAGTCAAATAATAAAATTCGATCAAGTAAAAATAATTTTTTTTACTTATTGCTCCGTTTAAATTAAAAGTTATTTTTCCAAACCTGTATAATAATAACAAACGAGATAACATCAACAAAATATTCTTACGAGTTGTAGTAAAGCTCAAAAGGTCCTTGAGGTCTTCTCCGACTATAGATAACTTTATGAAAAAGTCTGTTATTCCTAAAGGATTAATTTGATTGCCTGTTTTGTTTTCTTTTAATTTGGCCAGTTCGTCAATGTGTATCTTGTCTAGACTTCCGTCCTAAGTACAAGTATTTAAATCATGTAAGTATACGAAGGGAGTAAGATTTTTTTTTTGTAAATGCGCCAAAATGTATAGTAGGTATGGCAAAAGTATTATAGTTATATGTGGGCTTCGTCAAGACTTTAATGAAACCATAAATACTTACTTGAGGTTTTACTTCCAAATAGGATTTCACCAACTCCGCGGCGTTAATTGTTTTGTCATCTAAAAAAATTAATTTACATCATCAACCTTAGTAATATAATTAACTGCTTAGCTAACTCAATAATACTTGTGCTAAATTGGCCTGCTAAATCATCTTTGAACTTTTGTCCTAGACTTAAACTAGCAATGAGGTCTTTTAATTCTTCGTAGTCAATAAGACCATCGTTGTTACGCTTTTGGTCAAATTTTCTGAACACTGTCACAATAATTGTTACTTCGAAGGATGATACATTTTGTTTCTACGAAAAAAACGCATATGGTAACAAGAAAATTAGGTTAATTTGAAATTTTCCCATATTTTTTTTTTCAATATTACCTGCCAGGAGTCAGAACTCTTATCGTTATCGGCCAGAAGTATCAAAAGATCTTGTGCTTTATGAGCGTCCGACACATCTATAGTTTAAAATAAAATAGAAAAATATATTTTGAACAATTTTCAATCGAACTACCCAAGCCGAGTGCATTAAATTGAAAATCGTTAAATACTGGAAAGACGGATATTATTTTTTACAGACATCAAATTTGTTTCCAAGTGGGAGGTGGGGTAAGATTTGATTACAACCGAAAAGTTTAAACCCTGTTTAAAAGATGCTTTATTACCTGTGTTGTACGTAAAATGCGACATGGATTTCATGCCAAGTTTTAGTCCAAGATCCAAGATAATTTGCTTGGGAATTTCGTTTTTATATGTTTCGTAGTCTTTAAATAAAGAAACAATATCCTTGGCTTGCCGCTCATTGATTCCGGCGCTCTATAAAATATTATAGGTACAATAAAAATAATAATACATACTATTAACTAAAGAAATGTTTTTTATTAAGTACTTTTACCTGTGTTACGGTCACAAAGTACAACATGCAAAGGATAACGGCACTTTTGAAATGCATAACGGTTGTTTATTTTTCAAACACTTTGTTGAACCAGAAGTAAGTCTTCAATACCAAAGTCGGGTGAACAGTGAAATTCGATTGTACTCGAGGTGTCTTCTATAGGGTGCGAATGATAAAAACAACTAAGTTCAGAAATGGACAATATTGGTAGATAGTTGTTTTTCCTTTTTATTTTATTTACATAGTACACGCTTTAGGTAATGTTTTTGACTCAAATGTACAGTTGTAGACACGGCGTAACCCAGAAAAACACTGCACATTTGCTTATGTAAAATGGCATAACAATATATTTTGTACTTGATATAAATCGCACAAGCACAATACAGCGAACGACGAATATTATTAAATCTTCATACAATAATATTATGCATTTAAATAAATTAAATTATTTTCATACGTTGTACTTTGCGATTACATATTTTATTCGAGGGGTGAGAAAATCCTTCTTAAATGGTGTGTAGCCACCAATTTTACAAAATACTAGTAGATGGTTGTTTTTCTTTTTTTTTTCTTTATACTTATGTACTTGAATATATACTTAAATAAATGTTTTTGACTCGGTTGTACAGATGTAAGCATAGTGTAACCCAAAAAAACACTGCATATTTACTAGCGTAAAATGGAATAATAACATATTTTTATTCGCTATATATTCGCACAAAAACAATTTAGCGGACGACGAATGCTATTAAATCTTCATGTAATAATATTATTCGTTAAAATAAAAAAAATAATAATAATAATTTCCATACACTAAACTAGACTACACTAACTAGAAATCAAGCATAGTCTTAAATAATTACGGCAACAAAACGTCAAAATATTTTCAAAAGATTTCAAACGAGTACAAAACAAATGCTACACAGTTGGATTTGTGTATAGTGGGGTTGGTGACGGTTAGTCCATATTGGGATGGGGGAGATGGTTACTGTTAAGATTCCATCGTCTAACGAAAAATAATTTATGCCAATGTTTTCCATTTATAAATAATTAAAAACTTAATGGAGATATTTTGAAAACTTATGTTAACGACTTTCAAATAACGGCTGTTATTTTGTAAATATTAAACCAGTTTTAAAAAAATATTTTCTCCGCATTTATGAAAATAAGGAGCTCTACGGAAAGGCTATTGTATATATTTTAAAATAATTTTTTTTGGGAAAAAACCCATACGAATAACTAACAAACAATTTGGACGACCATAGGGAAAGGCCACAATACATAATTATGTCCCAATGTGTTTCCTTCAAGGGAAAAATGGTAGGTATACGTTTTTTCGTTTTGTACTTTTAAATTCATTTCAAATTTACTTCGAGTTCTTATGCTGTTAGAATTGATACATAGACCGTGTTCAACAAAATCCAAAGGCAAAAGGCCTCTCACACCTGTGTATATTCTATTGAAAACAATTTTTTTTAAATTCGTACATAGGTAACCTTCATTTTTTTTTTACTTTATACGAAAACATGGTATTATTTGAACAATACACGTGCCCAACATTTTTCTGCTTATGTATTACAACTAAGATTGTACTTTGACCAAGAAGCCTCTGTCCCTCGAAATTTTTAAACTCAATTCACCCCAAACGAATTTCATCCATACGCCGAATTTGAATATTCATAATAGATTTCATACCTTTAATTATTTCTCAATACTTTTTACCGACCGTCCTCTCTACACTATTGTGATTTTGATCAAAACCTAACAAATACTGTAAACATTTTTGTAATTTATAAGCTAATGATTAAATAGAAAAATACATTTTTACATTTCAATTAGCTTTAAAAATAGTACAACGAGTAAATCTTTGTAAGACAAGTTTAATTGGAATTATAAGTTTTCGAATTTGGTATAAAGGTCAATATTAAATTAAATAAAAGCATAACGTAGAGCTGATGGTCTGAAATTCATACTAAAAACAATTATTGTTAGAAAATATAAGTGTACCAGTTTAAGTAAAATAAGCACCCATTACACTAGTCACCTTAATTGTAATATTAGTATGTGTGGTGTTGTTGGAGCCCAATGTAGTTGACTTTGTACCAATAGTTTCTACGGGATACACAAATGGGTACCCAAAATTTTAATTGTCAAATAAGTACAATGATTTCGGTTAGTTATCCGTCAAGGTATTTTTTTATTATGCTTATTATTAATAAATGTCAATACGTTATCCCTTGACAAAGTGAAATTATAAAAAAGCATTATTATACTACAAATGTAGCTAGAATTAAAGTTAAAAGTGACTTTACGATTCAGTATATGATATTACAAAAAAATGCCTTGTTATTTAGACGCTAGCTTGATAAATCGAAAAAACAACTTGACAAACCATTATAATTTCAAGGCTGCTATTGTTTTTTTTTTAAATTTTGTCTTTTGAATAGCTTGAAAGACTTTTTGTCCTCTAAAAACCGTCTACTTTTATAAAATAATTTATTTTTAAAAATGTCTACAAAAAAATTATGTACTGCACAAACTGGTTTAATATAAAAAAAGTCTACAATGATGTCAACTAGAAAAAATATTGTTTAACTCATTCAAAAATGTTTATGATGTTACATGCAAACAAAACTACATGGCGACCATGTAGGTCAGTACTGTTAAAATATGTTTTTAAAATAAATTTTAATGGATTTTGTTTAAAAATAGCCTAACCACAGGCCGTATTTGAAATTTTGGCGCCCCCGGACATATAATTTATGCAACCCCCTCTCTTAATTATCAATATTACACTTATTTCATCTATTGTCGAGATTCTTTAATATTTTCTACACATTTTATGTTGTAGAAAATATTGTATATGTTTTATGGTAATGTGTAGTTCAATATTAAAAATCTAAAAATTAATATATGAAAACCGTTCAATAAATAAAAGTTTTTTTTATATTATAACAAATTGGCATAATAAAATACATTATTAAATAATTCAACATTTTTTTTTTTTTAATGTAATTTTTTCTTGCTTGATTATTAGCGAACTCTTCAATTATATCACTATAGTTAATTTTAAGAGTTAGTTGTAATTCAATGTTTATAAATGCCAATGCATTTAGGCTATCAGCGTATAATCTGTTTATTTTTTTTTTTCAATACATTTTTTAATTAATTTTGTTTAAATACTTTGCCACCCCTAAGACATGCATCATATATACCATGTAGTTTTAAATATTTTGCACCCGTATATTCAAATCAGATAATGTGGTACGGCTTTTATAATATTTGTAAGCAATATAATATTTGTTGCTTTCTTTTTTCAAACCGATAAATTTGCTACATGAGTAATCTTGATATTTTTTGCGTTAAGTAAAAAAACATTTTTTTTTCGAATTATTTGAAGAATACACGTGCACATTGTTTTTCTATTTATTTACCACGCCTTAAATGTTTCAGAGGCCCTCGGTTAGGTTAGGGTGTTTTCAATTCTTGACAAAGTCTACACGACGTTTACCGTTTTGAAATATGTCTTAAACTACAAAGTGTATTATACCTACGGTATACCTATTATTTTGCCACGCTAGGAAATGTGTCAATATTAGATTTCAGCATAAAAAAAGCTCAATATATGTATGCGAATATAGTATGAAGACTTTTGCATAGTACCTATGTTATTCCCCCAATTCTTGCAAATATGAAAATAATACCAACTATCGCATTAGTCCCACGGAATCGAAATAATAATTATTAAAAAATATGTGGTACATCAGCCTAAAATAAATCAAATTTTGGCTTGCTAGAAAAGCTCAGCAGATCAAGAGCAGTAGTGAACATAATTATTAATGTACAATAACCCATTGTTGAGTTTGAAAAAATGTTTTTATTATCAAAACCGTTTACTAAAGCCAATATCTTAGTAAATTTTTCTCAATTTCCAATATAAAGTACAAACAGCTTTTTATCGACGCGTAGGTTTAAATTGAAAATCTATTCATTTTCCTTTAAGGCCCCTGGATACCGACCATTTTTAAAGAGTTTTGTATAGGCAATATTTAAGAAAAACGTAGTTTTAATAAATTTCGACCATGTTAATTAATTTACCGGTTAATTTGTAAAAGCTTCGTGGTATTATTTTAATAATAATACCATAAATAATAATAATAATAATAATAATAATACTGTTTATAATATTGATGTGTTTTGGCTGAAAAAAACGGTTGGTATCTAGGAGGCTTTAAACCGAAATTGTTTTTGTGTTTTTTGTAGTTGTTGTAATTTTTCTTATTTGTACAAATTTTTAGAATACAAAAATATTTCATAAAAAACAATTAAGTTTTTGTTCGATCAGGGTCGATTTGCTACCATTTATTTTGTTGCCATTTTGCAAATTGTCGTTTTCAAGTTTTCATATTATTTTTTTTGTCCTGAAAATGATTTTTCTGTTAGAATAAATATAAAAACAATTTTACATGTAATAGATTTACACTATAAAGTATGCTTTAGCTACATTTACTTTAAGTCTAATTTTAATTCCAAAAACTATAAAAAATAACTAACAAAGAACATTTTCCCCCAATTTTAGGAAAAAAAGATAAATAAATTCCACTATTTTTCAAAACAAACATGCTTAATTTAATATAATAAATATCATCACTTAATTATCAAAATTAAATTTATAATATATATAGTAAAGAGCTAGGTGATTAGTGAGGTCGGAGCATATTAGGGTGGGAGGAGGTCAGAAATCTTCCAGAATATTATTATAACTGAATGTCATAAATCACTTTCAAATAAACTCATGTACTCAATAAATCGTGTACTAGCATAGTTATTTTTTATTCTACACCAAATCTACACTACTTTTGTATATTAATTACACAAGCTAATAGTTTTTTTTGTTTACAAGGTCTCTCAAAAATATTATGTTGGTTTTGCAATCAAATCTTTCTAGGATTTATACTCTAGACAGCTGTTCTAAGCCACTGATTTTTAATATTTTAGTTTTTTTTATTATGTTAAACATATACAATGTACATATATATGTGTTGTATACTACAGGCAGAAATCAGCAAATTTTTATATACCTATCGTTAAAATACGTTTCTAATATACGAAATTAAATTAAAAAAA